CGTTGTGCTGCTTCATATTTTTTTGTGGAAACCATAATATACAGTTCTTTAAACTACTGGACTCACAAAAATAATTGTGGTTAATTCATTTAATATATTGACACTCACAGTTTCTGTTAATAAAAAAATGAAAACAAGCAGTTTTATTAAAATTACAGCAGAACTCTAGCATGTTCTGCTGTAATTTTAATAAATCTGCTTGTTTTCATTTTTTTTATTTTCAGAAACTGTAAAAATATTGTGCTTTGACTTCAAGACAAAAAGGTCTAGAAAGGTCATAGTAGCACACTAAAATCAACTGGAACATGTTAGCAGCTGTGAGATTTATGAAAAGAGACTGGAATATGTAGAAATTGTGTTGTAGATGTTTTAGAAATGGATACCAGTGTTCTACAGTAAACATGTCCTCTCAGGTTTGAGTTCTGCGAGCCACACTTTGTGGTGGGGAATTGTCTGGAGATTTCCTCAGACAGTCACCAGTACGACCGCATCTACTGCGGCGCTGGAGTTCAGAAGGACCATGAGAACTACATGAAAATCCTGCTGAAAGTCGGAGGAATTTTGGTCATGCCGATAGAAGATCAGGTAAAACCCAGGGTGATACATCCTGTACAGCGACCCTGAAATCACTTACAAATGTCTGAATGTCAGTAGATCACAATATGAACCCAAATGTCTGCATGTTTCAAATGCTGCAGGATCTTGTCTCGTCACTAATTTACTTTTCTTCATCATTTTTGCTCAATGTCTTTTGATTCCCTGGTATTTGGTGATTTTTTGTTTTTTTGTGGATGTATGATGCCAGTTCTCTTCAAGTTCACACCAGTGTTGTTATTGTTAACTAAAACTATTACAAATGTTTTTTGTTAACTGAAATAAAGATGAAATAAAAGATCAATATTAGATGAAAACCCAAACATAGAATACATAAATTAATATTTGAAATGTTCCCTTGGCAACTAACTGAAATAAAATAAGTTGAAGTACTAAAACTAATTGTACAACTGAAGAAAAAAAAAAACCTAAACTAATAAAAAAATGACAAAATAAACAATTAAACTGAAAATATGAAAATAAAAGCTAAGTCAAAATATTAATAAATATTATAACAGTTTATAAATAATACTAAAATAACACCTGTTCACACATGTGTACTAGCAAAGTAAGCACAGTTCATCATATTAAATATCAACATGTTCCACTAATGACAAACAAACAGTCAGTCTTCATTTTATACTTTATCATTTCAAGCCAAATGCCTTTTTGTGAAATATTCTGCTTGACAAGTGTACTTGTGCTTTTCATTTCAAATAAATGCCACTTCAATAATTTCTAAGTGTATCTGAAGTATTCAAATCAATTTGGTGTAGTAGAAATTGGCATTTTAATTCTAGAAATGTTTGTTTATGCATTTTAATTATGAAATGTTAATTATCATAATGAAACAATTGTGAAAATTGTCATTAATGCAATATTTATGCTGCTATATAAATGCATGATATTGTAGAACAGTATCAGTAGTTTCATGACCCTGTTGAGCCTCATGTCTTGCATCAAATGTTTGAGCTGGTTATTAGTGTGGCGTCTCTCTCATTGAGTGTTTGTGTGTTGTTGCAGCTGACTCAGATCACTAGAACCGGTCAGAGCTCCTGGGAGAGTAAGAATATCCTGGCGGTGTCATTTGCTCCTCTTGTTCAGCAGAGCAGGACAGAAGGCTGCAAACCTGATGCTGTGGTGCTCCGTGAGTCTCTGCCTCTTTTATGACCTCACACTGCTCTGGCCAATCAGCTGCCGCTAGGGTGGTTTACAAAGGGCAACATTTTTATTGCAGATTTCATTACCTGATTCATTCAGAACAGTAAACAACACTACAGGCAAAACCTGAAATAGTTTGTTTTTGTTTTTTTTCCTCTGGTCAGTCTTGAGATTTAGTGCTATTTTGCTTCTATAACATGTCTTCTTTCAGACTAATGGATAGAAAACATCCAAAATACACATTACAAAGTTTTTCTTTTATTTATCTTTAAAGGCAGTTTACTCAAAATGCTGTTTTTCTCATGTAATGAGTCAGAAATCTCCACATCCGTAACACTTGCATATACAAACTTTACAGTTTTGTATTCTGAAGAAGGATTTGTTCATATATCATTCATCTGATTTACATTTTATTCCTAAAAACATTGTGATTTTTTTTCCCTGGCTGTTGTTGACCGTATTTTCTGATTTATGGAGTGATAACTGTTTTTACAGTGGGAATCTGGGAATTTACAGTGGGAATATATTTTTTTTATTCTAAACTGCCCAGTTTTGCGTATGCACACACACACACACACACACATATATATATATATATATATATATGGGTTGTTGACATATATACCGTAAATGTGTCCTATGGTGTGACAGCAAAAATTTAGAAAAAAAACTAACAATGAAGAAAAATCTCTCTTATGCTATTTGTATATTATTAACAAGAAATTAATAATGATTAATTATTGTTTTCTAAATTTTGCTGTTACACCACAGGACACATGTACGGTATATATGTCAACAATCCATATATATATATATATATATATATATATACATACATACACACACACACACACACATAGATAGAAAGATAGAGAGATTTATTTTTTTTTTTTTAGTTGGGACTATGTAATAATTTTTGTTGAATTAAGTAAACTTTTGACATTAACATTTTACATCTTGAGTAAACAGTTTTGCATATTTAAGTGGATTGGACAGTTAAATTAAGCACAGTTTAAAAAATTACGTTTTTAAATAAAAATTAAATTGTTTTACAAGAAAATGTAATTTAATCCAACGTTTAATCCAATGTTACTTGCCATTTTTAGTAATTATTTGTAAAAAAAAAAAAAATTCTAAGTGAAAATAGTTTCAAAGTAAGTCCAAAAAATCCTTTTTTTTTTTCAGTGTAGAAACCAAATGTTAGGCAGTTGTTTTGCTTAAATGCATTTTAATTAATTAACAAACAACAGAAATAATTTTTTATTACAGTGTGGCTTTATCCAATATTTAGATTTCTGTTCTGGAAATATAAGCAAATTAGTGCATATTTCGTTAGATTATATTTAAAAATCCTTTCAGCAAACTTGTAATACAAAACAGTTGTCTTGATGTACTGTGAATAATCAGCTGGTGCGGTGTAGTGATATCGATTAGTTTTTACTCTATTGCCCTGCAGTGTCTTGCCTTCAGGTTTAAACTAATTAGTTGTGCACACAAATGAGATCTGAGAAAAACCTTTAGCCATTAACCTGTATAACTTGTCTGTTCCTCAGCGCCGCTGTCTGTGAGGACTCTTCAGGACCTGGCACGAATCTACATCCGCCGGACCCTCCGCAACCTGACCAACGAGGAGCAACCAGCCCGCAACAACACACAGCGAGCGCCGCAGAAACGCAAACGCAGGCGCTGCCGCCGCCGCCGCCGCATCAACACCTACGTGTTCGTGGGGAACCAGCTGATTCCTCAACCCATGGACAGCGAGGAGGACGAATGCATCGAGGAGGAGAGCAAAGTCAAATGAGTTTTAGTTTTGTGTGCGTGTGTGTATACACATTAAAAAAAGAATGACAAGTTTTTATGCTTGTTTCATGTCTTAAGTCTGTCACAAACATTTCTGGTAACACTTTATAATAAGGTTCATTAGTTAACTACTTTAGCTAACATGAACCAAGAATGAACAATACTTCTACAGCATTAATCTTAATGTTAATTTCAACATTTTTGTTGGTTATATAAAAAGCACACAGGTCTGAATTGCTTTCATCTCTCCTTAGAGAATCTAATATCTACAATTAGCTCTTTTACCTGAGGCTGAATTTCTGGTTGAGTTTTCGAATGGCTTTCACATTTACAGTAGACTCTAGACCAGGGGTGGCGAACTCCGGTCCTGGAGAGCCGCAGCCCTGCAGAGTACAGCTCCAACCCTAATTAAAACCCACCTTCCTGTAGCTTCCTCGTAACCCTTCAGACCTTGATTAGCTTGTTCAGGTGTGTTTGATTAGGGTTGAAGCAAAACTCTGCAGGGCTGCGGCTCTCCAGGACCGACGTTCACCACCCCTGGACTAAACGCTCAACATCAGGACAAAAATCAGGGTTATGAAAAAAAAAAAAAAGATCTAATGGCGCAAAAGTGCTTCTCAGTAAAACCACATTTACTATTCCATCCATAGGGTCCTACATTAACTTTGGGGGGGGGGGGGGGGGGGGGGACACTGTGGACAGAAGTTCAAGTTCAATCAAAGTGGTAGTTAAAGGAGCTAATGTATATTTTTAGTACAATCACATACTTCAGCATGAGGAAAGGTCTAAAGTTGTGCATTTAAAGCTTTGGCCATAATGCTAGATAACACACACATCTTATTCTTACATGTCAGTTCATGACACTAGCATGCGTTAAATGACAGAATCATAACAGCAGCCTTAAATATGTACAGAGAAATTTTAAAGTCAACATGAAAGCATATACATAACCCACTTTACTAAAATATACACACACACACTCAATTGTTTTTGGCAATAACCTTTATATCAATGTTAACCATCATTAAAATTTAATTTACTGTGTTAATAGCATAAACCTATAGTACAGCAGTTACTTTAAAAAAAATTTAATAAAAGTCTAGATGACAACCAAAAAATAAAGGCAAAGTGCTAATGGATAATGCACAGGGAAATTAATTTTAATAGTAACACTTTACAATAAGGTCCCATTAGTTTACATGAATTAAAAATGAAAAATAATTCTAAAGCATTTATTACTCAATGTTAATTGCAACATTTACTAATACATTGTTAAAAATCAAAAGTTGTCTGTTAATATATATATAGTTTTAATTTAACAAAGATTAATAAACACTGCAACAAATACAATGCTCATTGTTAGTTATTTTTCTTTAATGCATTAACTGACGAGACCTTACTGTAAAATGATACCATTTTAATAATTAGTAAGTAAATAGGTAAATATTATAAGTATAAGTAAATAGGGTCTGTTATCATTTCATGTTGACTTTATCAGGTTAAATGGGTGGCATATTTTGTACTTTGCAAAAATGACCAAAGTTTATGCACCAATACATTTATCTTAGATATTGGCGAAAAGATACAAATAAAAACAATAAAGTTAATCACTTCATTGATTAGCTTAGCAAGTACGTCGTTCCTTTGAGAAAGCTGAAATGTGCATCATACAGTCACTTCATACAATTCCAGTTCATCTTCAGTTACATGATTCATTCTTTAATAAAGTATCAAAATGCATCCAATATGAAAATACCCACATTCTCCAGTCTGTTTCTCTAGGCAGTCAGATGCGGCACCGTTTTAATAGCTTTTTGTACAGATTTAAAAATTGATGTTCAATTTATGTGGATTTGCTTTGTGTTTCTGTAAATGTATATTTAAGATAGTTGATTTTATTCTTTTTGACTATTTGAGAAAACGCAGATCAACAGAGGCTCAAGAACATGGTGCACTTCTTGGCAGTTTCACAACAGCTTCATTCCAATCAACAACCAGATTAAATAAGATTCTAAAAGTATACACAAAGAAGTGTTAATATCATTTGAACGCAAACAAGATGCATTGCAATATCAAAGGGAAAGAGTACATCTTTCTAATGACCCACTAACTGCATCTGAAGCATTTTCAGCTGGAAGCTTAACTCTAAAATGTTCGAAATTCATCCAGCTCATTCACATAATGGCTTACGTTTGAGTCCGTTTCCCGTCTGGAGGATATAGTGAGGTTTTCAATGTTACATACTTGAATGGTTCATTTTGAAGTGGACGTCCACTCGTTTGTCAGGGTTGGTTCCTCTCATCCTAAGTGTTCAAAGTCTTGAAGGAGAAGATACGACGCTGGAGTCTGTCAGCTGGTGTATTTGAGCTTGGATATCCGTGACGGGCCGGTTAAGGTGGAAGTGGCCGACACCACGGGGGCCATGGCGGCGTTTCGGCTGCTCACGAACATGGGATCCAGACAAGCCACTTTGGCGGCGAAGAAGGCGTGGATGCAGTGGAGAACTGCGAAGAGGTTAGAGAACTCCAGCTCCTGGAAACATCAGAGAGAAAACACGATCGTGAAGAAAGGAGGAAGCCTCAAGCAGAAATCAAATCAAGCTTGGCGCATGAAAGTGCTCACACTTACGGCCTACGGGGGAAATAATCAAACAGGAAACTCATATCAACATGCTTTATTTTTATCTGCTTCCTTCAGCGATTTCTTTTGCACTGGTTAAGATTGATGTTTTGAAAAGTTTTGAGGCTAGCAAAAAGTGTATGATATGCTGAGTTATATTTTTCAAACCCGCTTCAGGTATATTAAAATGCTAGAGTGAGAAACAGTTCTCTTTCATAAACAGACTTTATGAAGCCAATAACAAAAACCAAAAGAGTAAGCTTACCTTTGCTTCAATAAGTTTTGGGTCTTGATTCTGGAACAGGAACTTGATTTTGCTCTTGCCGTCATCTGATGATCCTTTCAGCTGAGAGAACTTGTATCTCCACAGCACTGCCTATAATGAAGGTTTAAATTATGCATATTATTAACTCTATAGACATGAAAAAGTATCTCAAATTAACTGGAGAATTGTGGAAAATGACTTTTTATATTTCAAAAATTATTTGCATTGATAATTCATACCCATTAAGCTGTTGTTTATTACATTATTTGTTCCTTTGACAATGGAATTTCAAAGCTTATTATTATTTTGCATATTTCAGACAAACAGCGCAGGCCTGTCATACACAAAAGCATCAAGCCTTCTCATATTTGTGATTTTATTCCTCATGTTTTTAATCTGGCTGGTTTAATGTGGACAACATGGACCTCTGGAGCAAAAATAAACATATCCTATTACTGGATAACCTATATGGTAGGTACACTAGATAAACTTCTGATGCTGGATGTTCCACTGGGGTAAAGTTTGATAGGACATAGTGCTTAAACATGGAGAGAAAATAAGCATTTGGGTTCTCTCATGTTTTTCCCAATGGGTTTTTTAAAATAGAAATGTTAAATTTATGAGCAAAATAAAGTCTGATTAAAAGTTTGGGGGCAATAAGAATTTAGTGTTGTTGAAAGTAGTTTTTATGCTCACCAAGACTGCATTTATGTGTTAAAATTACAGTAAAACCAGTAATACTGTGAAATATTATTACAATTTGAGTTTTCTAAAAAGTGTTTTCTATGTGAATATATTGTAAAATGTAATTTATTCCTGTGATTTAAAGCTGAATTTTCAGCATCATTACTCCAGTCTTCAGTGTCACATGATCCTTCAGAAATCATTCTAATATGCTGATTTGCTGCTCAATAAACATTTGTTATCATCATTATTATTATTACTCATTTTTGTGAAAACCGTGATTTTTCAGGATTCTTTGAATAGAAAGTTAAGAACAGCATTTATTTGAAAGTCTTTTGTAACATTATAAATGTTTTTACTGTCACATTTAATCAATTTAATGGGTCCTTTTCACGGTTAACAAAAAAAAAAAAAAAATTATATATATATAATTTTGAATCATATATATATATATATATATATATATATATATATATATATATATATATATATATATATATATATATATATATATATATATATATATATATATATATATATATATATATATATATATATATATATATATATATATATATATATATATATATATATATATATATATATATATATATATATATATATATATACATACATACATATATATATATATATATATGATTCAAAATTCATTTTTGAGGTGCAACTTTAACACACCAAAGCCAGTTTTGGCACACTTGTGTAGAGTAGAGTGTTAACTCTGCACTTTGTTTGTATGAAAATATTACTTTTAATAACAGACTGGCACTGGCTATGAATATGCAAACAGAGTCACAGTATCTTAACAGAGTGCTAATATTACCAAACACAACAGAATATGCTTTAAACAACTACAGCAAAAACTTTATTCTAATAGACAAATGTTTATACATGCTTACCTAACATACAGTTGACAGATGAAGAGTGTCATTAGCATGTTTCTATAAATGTTTGCTGTGATATATAAATACATGCGCATAGCAACAGAGTAGCTCTAACTAATGAAAACTCAATCAGAAGTTAATAACCTGTGATCATACATTGGACTTAGTTTTACTTAAATTAAATTAAGACTGAAGGTTGCACGTCTCACCTTTGTGGCGGCATCGAAGCAGACGAAGCCCATGCTGAAATCGATGGTGAGACCCATGAGATGACTGTCCACAATGCAAGCGTATGTTTTACACTGAAACGGGAGACACTTGGCATTGTTAATCAGACAAACTGGCAGACACAAACATCTCCATCTCTTAAATGTTTCATTAGGATGATAAGCGTCGTACATAATTATTTTGGGAGAAAAATAAACGGAAGCGATTTTTTGGCATGAGGCACGGTCAGGGTTTTGCCGCATTAGTTTGGTTTAGTGGGATAAATTGGCAGCGATTTTATTTGTGCCACCCTTGTTGTCCATGAATGTGAAACAAGTTGTCCTGCTATTATCTTGATAGAAGACAGATTATATTGCATGGAAGACAGATTTGCTTCAGTCCGAGACTACATGCTATACTTTACTTAAAATATACATAATTGGATCCTATACATGAATCTATGGGTGTTTGGCCAATTTTGATCCAGTAAAATCAATCTCTATTGAACGACACTTTTCACACTAATAAATGTTTAATTTGTCTAATAATAAAGTAAACTGCTAATAATGTCTAATAGTACGGTGACCGGGAGGGGACATGTTCGGTTCACTTATTTTTGCCACGAGATCCTGTGTTGAGGGAATCCATTTCTCATGGCCACGACTTCACATCGCGTGGATAAGGATGTCGTTATCTCGACAAAATGATCTTGTGGCCACAACATTTTATCACGTTCCCATGAGTTAATATGACGTTCCCACGAATTAATATCTCATGGCCACAACATTTTATCACGTTCCCACAAGTTAATATGTCGTGGCCACGACAAAAATAAGTGAACCGAACATGTCCCCTCCCGGTCACCGTATAGTGTTAATTTAGAATCACTGATATACTATTATAGTTTGTTAAAATTTGTAATTTTATTTTTAGATTGTTAATTTTAATTCTAGTTCAAGTTTCAGTCATTTTGTTGTGTTTGTCATTTTTATTGTTTGTTTTTTTAAATGTCTATAGTTTATTAATTATTTTTTTATTTATAAAGTTAAACTAAACATAATAATTTAAAGTTTTTGTTACATTGTATAATAAGGTTGCATTTGTTAACATCAGTCATTTTGTTGTGTTTGTCATTTTTATTGTTTGTTTTTTTAAATGTCTATAGTTTATTAATTTTTTTTTTATTTATAAAGTTAAACTAAACGAACATAATAATTTAAAGTTTTTGTTACATTGTATAATAAGGTTGCATTTGTTAACATTGACTACGTTTACATGGACATCAGTAATCGAATTATTTACCTTATTCTAAATAAGCCAATATTATGATTACGGTGTTTACATGAGTTGCTTTTAGAATATTCCTTTCATGTTCCCGTTTTACATGTTATAGTACATAGATCGATTA